CAGGTCTTGTTGCCAAAAAGGCTTGTGAATTAGGCCTAAAGGTTAGTTATCCCCTTTTTTTCACAATTTTTTTTATAACTAGTGCTAATGGAATTCCTAATTCCATTCCACCCACTTCAACTCTAATTTCATCTATTGCTTAATCACCAGGTCAAGCCATGGGTCAAGACAAGTCTAGCTCCAGGTTCTGGAGTTGTTACCAAATATTTACTCCAAAGGTATTTGCTTATTAATGTTTGCTTCTTTAATTAGTTTCCCATTAATTTTGAAAAATGAAGAGTATCAATATTTGTTTTTTTTTTTTTAATTTTTTTTATTTTTAAATAATGCAGTGGGCTGCAGAAGTATCTAAATGAACAAGGGTTCAACATTGTTGGATACGGGTGCACGACATGTATTGGCAATTCAGGGGAATTGGATGAATCAGTTGGTGCAGCTATTACTGAAAATGGTATGTTCTACTATTACAGGAATGGACTCTGAGAGTGGAATTGCATTCCTCTCTCTCTTAGGAATGGTGAAATCCATCAAACGTGGAAGCATATGAAGGAATCTTATGGAATTGAATTCCATCCATTGGGAAACCAAACGTGCCATGGAATGGAATCTCGAATTCCAATTCCGCCGGTATTTGGTATTTATCTAAATCACCTTTTGTTATTTGTTGCAGATATCATTGCATCAGCTGTTCTATCCGGGAATAGAAACTTTGAGGGACGTGTTCATGCCTTGACAAGAGCAAACTATCTTGCATCGCCTCCTTTGGTTGTTGCCTATGCCCTTGCTGGCACGGTAAGAATTTAACTTGATTCAATATAAATAAAATGAGTTCAATGCAAAAAATAGCAATGTACTTTCACGTAGATTTTCTAAAACACAATGCCTTAACAAGAAAAAAAACTGAAAGCATAATGTTGTAACAGAATGAACTGAAAGTAGGAAGCTATAGTACAGCATTGTACTTTGAAACATCTACCAATTAGGCATTTATAACAATGACATCCATATACAAAGCAATTTTCACTGTTGTAATTGGGTAGATATTTCAAAGTATAATATTCAAATAAGAAAAGAAAAGTACATTAGTATAGTTTTTAAGAAAAATACCGAGAGTACAATGCTGTAATAAACAGAAATCAAAGTAGGACACTATAATACAAAAATAAACAAAAGTGCGTTGCTATTTCTTACCATAAAAAAAGGTTTCACGAGTTCTTGGATTGGATCATTCTTATTCAATCTTATCAAATAACTATTATTCATGTATTCTCAATTCATTGCAAATGTTCCACAGGTTGATATCGATTTTGAGACTGAACCAATTGGTGTTGGAAAAGATGGAAAGGATGTTTATTTCAGAGATATCTGGCCAAGTACTGAAGAAATTGCAGATGTAAGTATTCTGCTAGCTGCTAAAAGACTCAAACGCCCTCCTCACACACAGCCTAACTTAAAATTCTATATATTTATTGCAGGCTGTTCAATCGAGTGTTCTTCCAGAAATGTTCAAGAGTACTTACAAATCCATCACCGATGGCAACCCCATGTGGAATGACCTTTCAGTCCCTCAAGCCAAACTTTACTCATGGGATCCAAACTCCACCTACATTCATGAACCCCCATATTTCAAAAACATGACAATGGACCCCCCTGGTGCCCATGGTGTCAAGGACGCCTACTGCCTCCTCAATTTCGGTGACAGTATCACAACCGATCACATTTCGCCAGCTGGAAGCATCCACAAGGACAGCCCGGCTGCAAAGTTTCTTCTAGAACGTGGTGTCGATCGTAAGGATTTTAATTCTTATGGTAGTCGACGTGGTAATGATGAGATTATGGCCAGGGGTACTTTTGCCAATATTCGTATTGTCAATAAGCTTTTGAATGGAGAAGTTGGCCCCAAAACGGTTCATATTCCTTCTGGAGAGAAATTATCCGTCTTTGATGCTGCATCCGTAAGTTCCTAAACACAATAGTACAAAACATGTTGTACTGTATTTGACATGAGACTGATGTCAATAGGACAAAAATAAATTTTTCTGTAATTTTTCTTTAATATGTACAATCATGGCTCCTTTTCCAGAAATACAAGGAGGCTGGTCAAGATACAATTGTGTTGGCTGGAGCAGAGTATGGAAGTGGAAGTTCCAGAGATTGGGCTGCCAAGGGCCCTATGTTATTGGTAAGTTTCCACTTTCCATTTCTTACCTTTGAAGCTTCTGGAATGTTGTTTTAATTATTATATAATACAAACAGGGGGTTAAAGCGGTAATTGCGAAAAGCTTTGAGAGGATTCATCGTAGTAATTTGGTAGGAATGGGTATTATACCACTTTGCTTCAAAGCCGGTGAGGATGCAGACACACTAGGGTTGACCGGTCATGAAAGATACACCATTGACTTATCAAGCAACATTAATGAAATCCGTCCCGGTCAAGATGTCACCGTCAGTACTGATACCGGAAAGTCATTCACGTGTATCGCCCGCTTTGACACTGAGGTACATCTGTCTTGTCTAGTATTTCGGGGAAACAAATCTCTGTTTCCAAAGCTCTTCTGTCAGCTACCTAGTTGGCCTACTGTACTGTCTGTGCCAACTAGGTAGCAAGCCCACATTGTCCTACATGGACAGTGTGGGCCTGGTGGTCTGCTACCTAGCTGGCACATGGCCAACTAGCAGACCTACTATACCTAATGGATAGTGGGTCTGTATGCCAACTACCTAGTGGGGCCCAGGTGATGGACAATGTGGACTGGTTTAGGGGTTGTTGGAAAAGTAACATTTTTTGCAGATATAATATCAATGATATTTGTTATGGTTTATGTAGGTGGAATTGGCGTATTTCAACCATGGTGGAATTCTTCCATATGTTATCCGACAACTAGCGGCACAAAAATGATGTGGTTTTAGAGAGGTTTATTGGGTTGTACAATGAGAGGAAGTGAAATAAAATGTTTTTCATCCACATTTATGATTTGTTGCATCAAGGGAATGGAAGTTTGAGGATAGTCTCTTGCAGATGGCAAAGTGATTTGCAGTTGTTGCAACAATTTTTTTTGTAACGATACACTCTTATTTCAGGCTGATTTATTTCCCTATTTATAAGGGAGACAGATACCCTACACAGGGAAACATGATATAATTTCGCTAAGTTTGCTAGTTTTACTTTTGTGCTGTTGTCATGCATGATCTATATTGTATTTCGGTTGATTCAAGGATTATTTGAACAAATAAACCATATCTAAGCCTCGATATACCTCATGATAATTTAATACATAACAAATCAGCAAGTATAAACAAGATTTCTACACAACATATATAGATCATTAAAAAAAAAAGTTAAACTGATCTAACCACAATTAGAGGGTGTTTAGATAAATTAGCTTATAGCTTATTAGTGTTGAGAGAGTTTGGATTAAAAATAAGCTATAAGCAAGGGAGAGAATGCTTATTAAAATTAGCTTATTTAGCTTATCCCTGCCGTAATAAGCTGGTTTTTAGTGTTTTCTATTCAAACATTTAAACTCAGCTTATAGCGGTAGGGATAAATAATAAACTAGAAGCTCCCTCTTTTTTTCCTATCCAAACACTTCATAATGTGTCTTTAAAGAAAATAACAAAAAAATTGATTTTAGTAAAAGTAACCACTTGGTCTGGTCTTGAAATAGACATTACGGACTAGAAAAAAAAACTTTTCTGACAAAAAAATATATTTCGGACTGATATTATGGAGTTTCGGACAAACATTTCAGATTCGAAACTGATACTTGGATTTCGGAAAAATAAATAAATTGCGGAATTTAAAAAAAAAACCCAAAATCCGATGAAAAAAATTTTGTTTTTTACATTAATCTAATAAAAAGTTTAACAAACATACTCATGTGAATTATATGTATATGAGACTAGTACATAAAATAAGATACTTCCAAATAAAAAAATTAGAATAAAACCAAAAAATAACTTTGAAATTTAAAGATCACATCCGAAATGTAGCATTCGGGAGTAACCGTTTATTTAAACACCTCAAAATAGATATTTCGGATATAAACAGAAATTTTTTCGAAAAAAAAACTTAAGAATATAAACAGTAGTCTAGAATGAAACATTCTAGAATGAAACATTTGAGAACAGTGGTTATTTTTCAAAACTGAGATAATTTTCTTTGAAAAGTTTATTTATAGTGGTTAAATCAAGAAAAAAAAATCTTAATCAATGAATGACTAAAAGTTCTAAGCTTTTTTTTTTAAATGGATAAATATATAAATTGATAGGCGGATGAGATAGCCCCAAATTAAAAAATTAACAAGTCCAAAATCCATCACTCGAAGCAACCTTTTTTGTTGGAAATTTTGGGATCTATATGGTTATGTGGCGAAGAAGCTTCCTTCTATTATTTTTCATTTTTATTTTACTATAGTTGTTTTTGTAACTTGAAGCTATAGTCTTCTCGTAAAAGTCAAGAAAAATCCTTTTATGATAAAAAGTATTAATAATTTAAAAATCATGAGAGACAGAAGGAACCGGTCTTCTGGTTAAAGGGCCCAAAACAATCTGTTTCTAATGCATTTAGAAATCACAAAACGTTAATGCACACGTTCGTTTACTGTTGTTAATAATCATTAATGTTAATTTTTTTTCATAATTGTTATTACATATAATATATAATATTTATATTATCTAACTGGTATCCATAAAATTAACTATATCCAGAGTCATACAAGTTGAAAAATTAGCCAAAATTCTTCAAGTCAAACAAATATATTATTTAGATGAGTTAAATTGATTTAAGCATTTTTATCTCTTAATTACATATAACTAACATAATAAATATGATTATAAAATTATTATACAAGAAATAATTAATCTTTTTTAAAACGATTTGATGTCCTATGCAAATCTTTTTGTTGTAATCGGCGGGAATACCGGCATACGCGTCTCACGTGACCCGTCCTTCCATTTGAAGTCATTGACCCACAGATTTCCCTCCTTCTCTTCCGTGTGAAAAAAACAAAAACTGAGGCCTCATCCGCCATTGATGAAAACCATGAAATCAACTGCAAAAGTCCTCCCACCCTACTTGACTTTTACACACACTCACACACACATATATATAAACAGACATTGTTGGAAGCTGTAATAGTTGCTTTTGAATATTGAACTCACTGATCGCCGAAATGATGTGTGGAATTTGTGCGAGTGATTGTCAATGGCTAATATTTCAATTCGCAATGCTGCTGCTTCTATGTAAGTAATATGATTCACATTAATCTAATAATTTTTGTTGATGGTCTGAATTAGCTACATATGTATTTCCGATGCATGTTGTACAATGCAATAGCTATATTGTTGAACTGTGCTCGAGTATCGATTTCTGTTTTCAGTGTCGTGTGTGCTTGAGTTCTTATTGATAACGTTCTAATTGAAAAAGTAAGAGCAAATTTGTTTCGATTTCTGTAATGTTCTGTTGATCATTTTTTTTAAAGATGTAGAACAATCACACAAGCTAAAATCATTTTGAATTGCTCTTGAGAATCAATTGATGTTCTTAATATCAGTGTGGTTGATTCAGAATCCTCTTTCTGTTTGATTAATTCTGTGATTGTGAATGATCTGAAACATCACAAATTTGTAATTCAACAAGTTTCTTCTTCCGATGCTTAATTGCTGTAATTCAGCAGATCAAAAATTTAGGTATATTGTATTGAGTATGTGTGCTTATCAATTTTCTTGGTGCTTAAATCTCTGAATCAGATAGCATCCATTTCGAGAAAGTAACTAGTTCTAATCTACCACAATCTCCGATTGAGTCTCCTTTGAATCCCCAACCTGTTCTTCCACTCATTGCACCTTCACCATTGATGCCATTCACAAATATCAGCATGCCAAATCTATCAGGTATCCCTACACCTTCCTCTTACTGAATCAAATGCTTTAAGAAGAAGCAACTACTAATCTTTGTAAATTTGATCTATTCTAACATTTCAGGAAACTGTCCACTAAACTTTTCAAATGCCGAAACTGCCCTCACTACAACAGCAATCGATTGCTGGGGTTCACTAGCTCCATATCTAGCCAACACAATATGTTGCCCTCAACTCGATGCCACAATCAAGATCTTAATAGGCCAATCTAGTTTCTCTTCAGGAACACTTTCCCTCAACAAAACTCATTCCAAAAATTGTCTTTCAGACATCACACAACTTCTAGAAGCTCAAGGCTCTAACAACCAACTTCTAGAAATCTGCTCAATCCACCCTTCAAACCTCTCAGATTCTTCTTGCCCTTTTGTTCATCTTATTGATATTGAAAACACCATCAACATTCCTACAATCATTGAATCTTGTGAAAAGATTGATCCTGTGAAAGAGTGTAGGGACAAAATTTGTCAGAGTGCGATTACAGATGCTGCTGTTAAGATTGCTTCTAGAAAGATTGGAAGTCGTTTATCAGGTGATGACGTGGCTATGGTTGATGATTGTAAGAAGATTGTTCTTCAATGGCTTGCGAGTAAATTTGATTCATCGTATGCTAATAAAGTTCTACGTGGGATTTCGAGTTGCAAGATTAACAAAGGTAATTAACAATATCTTCAAACTATGAAGCTTTAATGTGTTTTAATTGCTAAATCATATATCTCTCACTTTTAATTTTTCCAGTTTGTCCTCTTGTTTTTCCCGACATGAAAAACATTTCGAATGAATGTGGAAACAAGATTAGGAACCAAAACGCGTGTTGTGATGCCATGGAGAAGTACATGACTTATATACAAAATCAAAGCTTCATTACAAACTTGCAAGCTTTGAATTGCGCGAATTTGCTTGCTGATAATTTGCAAAAACTTAATGTCTCCAATAACATATACAACATTTGTCACATAAAACTCAAAGATTTCTCCCTCCAAGGTTAACTACGCTCATCATTTCCCTTCTTCTTTTCATATCATCTCTAGAGCAATTTAACAAATTTATAGGTGGCGTTATGGGATTTTGATATTATCAATCATGGAACAGTTGGATCACAAGGTACTAATTCTTGACATAAAATTAGTTTAATGATGCCGATTTATCTAATAACTCCTCTCGGGGATTTTTTTTGTTATAGGGTCGGGTTGCCTTTTTCCAAGCTTGCCTTTTGATGTGACGTATGAGCAAAGCACAGGAATTGATTTCAGATGTGACCTTAATGATAACGTTGAAGCGCCATGGCCTTCTTCTTATACTTATTCTCCTTCTCCAATAAGTACGTCTAGTATTTAAACATGTCTCTCAAAAGTTTTTTTTTTTTTTTTAATTTATGAAAATCATGCTACAGATCTTCCAGCACTTCCTAAAGCAACATCCGATCAGAGTGGTGAGCTGATTTCTTCCTTATTGTTGAACTAATTTCTTACTTTTTTTTTTAATTATTTAATTAATTTGGAAATATCAATTCCAAAGGGCTGCGGAGTACACTGTTCCTTTCGACTTTGTTGCTGCTCAACTTGTTCACGTGATGCTTCTCAGACCTACGTACATGGCCTGCTTTTTGTAGTGTAAAATAGTTATAAGAATAAAAAATATCATTAATATTAATGTATTTCTTAAAAGAATTTGTACATGTAATACGTATTCGTCCTTTTGGGGAAATATGATAAAATTTGAACTATACAAAACATAAATCAAGAAATGACTTTTGCTCTTAAAAAAAGTTTGGTTTGTTTCATGAGACAATATAGTTCATGATAATCTGTACTTTGTTTTATTTTTTTGGGTTAAGAAAAATATTATATTTTTTTGTTTACATCCATACTACTAGCACTCCCAACTTACTTTACTAGATTCACCAAAGTCACACTATAGTGACACCCTCGTATTGCCACATTCATGCATTCCCTTTTCTGGAAACTCATATGGAAGAGGGACTAAGTCTTATATACTAAGACCTCTCACAAATTAATGTGAAAAAATCACACGCACAAAAACACGATATTTAATATGGTTTGGTCAATAATGGGGTATGAGCTACACCCACATCTAAAGCTGGCTGAGATAGACCAAGAGCCAACAATCAAACCCAATACAGACTATACAGGCTGAACACCGTTTTACCGAGCCGATCACCAATATAATAATCGAGTATCTACTGTACAAGATCATATCAAACAACCTCCTAGGAAACATGGAAAAGAAAATTTATTTTATTAAAGGGTTCTACCTTTACGACGTATGGATTAACACATAACACATGCAAGAAAACGATAAACCGGACCAAGCCTCACCTATATATATAAAGGTAAGTTCTTGTTACCAAAAGGGGGCAGAGAACAATAAGACAATTTTTATAATAGACAACACAAAGCAATATCTAGTTTAGGCATCACAAAACAATATCGGGGTCCAACCCTATGTATGACTTTCTAACCTAGTATTTGTTGATCTTGTGCAGCGTTACTTCGCTGGTGTTCATTAGACGCAGTTCTACAAAGATAACTATCAAGACACACGAAAGACCATGTAACAATAGTCAACGTGACTTACATCTAAATAGCATGATTCTTATTCACGAGCATGAAAACAGTAGTACAGTTTAATTGAAACCCTAGCTATCAGACGTTATACATAGAAAAAAATACAAACATAAACCTAATTCGAATCGGGTACGCATGTCCATACCATATAACACATTTTTTTTTATTAAAAATTATTTTTTTAGTTTGAAAACAAATAAAATCATCTATTTTATAAAGTTAATATTATCTTATCTTATAATAAATATTGAAAATAGTCGTGTACCCTGATAATATATTTTGGTCATTTTAGAATCTCACAAGCTTACACAATTATACCCAAACAAAACTCTCCCTTTCTCCCACAATAAAAAAACAAAGTTGCAGGGACCATGACCACCATCATTTTCCCATGTTTTCCTTACCTTCCAAATAGGCTTTATTCTTCATCTGGCATCTGAACCCCACTCCTCACAGGCTCACACTATTCAACCATTAAACAATAAACACCCACCGTTGTTTTCATCTCCTCCCCTTTACTCAAATTTGACCTAATTTCATGGTTATTTCACCAGAACCTCTAATGTCTTAACATGTATCAATAATGGAGTCCACCATACGATTATTACTAACCCTCTCAATATCACTGCTTCTCAACACTTGTGCTCACTGCAAAAGGCCTGCTGTTGTAAATGTTGGAGCTCTGTTTTCGTTTGATTCGGTCATCGGCAAGGCTGCAAAAACAGCCATGGAAATTGCTGTAATCGATGTGAACAACGATTCAAGGATTCTTAATGGTACGGAAATGAAGTTATTCATGGAGGACACTAATTGCAGCGTCTTCAAAGGCTCCATTGGAGGTATTTAAGCATCTATACCTTTCGATTTTCTGTTAACATGAATAGAGATCAAATTGTTATGTGGAATTTAGGTCGTAGATATGATCATATGAATTCAATCTCGATTTTGGATTGAATACACATGCTAACAAAGTGGCTTTTCTATTCAAAAATAAATTTTTTAGTTTATAAATTTCTTTTTTCTACTGTTTCTATTAGCTTCATCTTCAATTGAAAATCCAGATGCGGATAAATTTGAATTTGGAATGATTTTGTCAGCATTTCAGATGCTCGAGCAAGATGTAGTCGCAATAATCGGCCCACAATCATCAGCTGTAGCTCATATGATTTCTCAGATCGCAAATGGCGTACAAGTGCCCATAATTTCATACGCTGCAACCGATCCCACTCTATCTTCCCTCCAATTCCCTTACTTCTTTCGAACAACACAAAGCGACTCATACCAGATGGCAGCCATGGCTAACTTGATCGATTTTTATGGCTGGAAAGAGGTAATTGCAATATACATCGATGATGAATATGGAAGAAACGGAGTGTTTTCTCTAGATGATGAAGTAGAAAAGAGGAAATCAAAGATTTCTTATAAGTTAGCTTTACCCACTAATTATAATCTTAAAGATATCTCCGATGTGCTTAATTATTCAATCCCACTTGGCCCTCGTGTTTACATCATCCACATTCATCCTGATCCGTCCCTCAAAATCTTTGAAGTAGCTAACAAGCTTAACATGATGACTACCGATTATGTATGGTTAACAACCGATTGGCTTTGTACAACTTTACCCTCGATTACCCCAACAAATCAACCTTCTTTGAAGATCATCGAGGGCGTTGTCGGAATTTGTCAGCATACTCCACAAACATCAGAAAAAAAGAACTTTGAATCGAATGTATACGGATCGTATGCTTATGACACGGTGTGGGCGGTTGCAAACACAATCGATACATTTCTTAATCAAGAAATGAATATGTCGTTTTCATTTTTCGATTCAAAATTCGGGAAACTTAAGATCTTCGATAACGGGAAAGATTTCGTGAAGATATTATCGGAGACAAATTTCAATGGTTTGACCGGTCAAATCCAATTCAATACCGATAGAAACTTGGTTCCAAGAGGTTATGAAATCGTTAATTTTGTTAAATTATCAATTCAAAATGTTGGGTATTGGTCGAACCATTCGGGTCTCTCTGTTGCCCCACCCGAATCTCTCAAAGTGGATAAAAGTAAGTTGCCCCGTTTAAATGAGAAGCTTGGTGTAATTACTTGGCCCGGTGGAAACACGGATAGGCCACGTGGATGGGTTATTGGTGACCAAGAAAGACCGTTGAGAATTGGGATACCGAAACGGGCGAGTTTTGTTGAATTTGTAACGGAATTAAGTAATCATACGATACAAGGATATTGTATCGATGTGTTTACGGAAGCAGTTAAGTTGATTCCTTATCAACTTCCTTTTAGATTTGTCCCGTTTGGAGATGGTGAAAAGAATCCAAATTATGATCAACTTGTAAAGTTCGTTACGGACGATGTAAGTATAAGATTAGTCAAATCTCGTTTCTATCATGTGCTTGATACATATAAGTATGTATCAAGCACATTGTATACAATGCGTCTGATGCATAGCAAATCAGGCACATTGGTAGTACATAATGCAGGCTCAATGTACCTGATGCATAGCGCGTATCAGGTGCTATGCAACACTGCGTATTGTGCCTTATATATAGTGTATCTGGCAGTGACATTTTGCCTGATACGATCAAGCGCAGGCGCAATGTGTAGATACATGGTGTATCTGACGCAATGTGTCGGATACGCAATGTGTCTCGGATACGCTATGTAGTGTACATAGTGTATCTGACGCGTTGTGCCAGATACATTATATAGTGTATCTGGCGCATCATGCGAGATACACTATGTATCAAGCACGCGTTATGTATCAGGAACACATTGTGCCTAATACGCAATATATTAGGCACAAATGTGCCTGGTACAATACTCATCAAGCCTGATAAGTAAGTTCTTTATAGTATTAGATTGTGGTTGTTACTAGGTTTTTGATGGAGCGGTCGGAGATATAGCTATCGTGACAAATAGGACAAAGATTGTTGATTACACACAGCCTTATGCAACAACGGGTCTCGTGATCGTGGTTCCTATTAACGATTCAAAAGCGAGTGCTTGGGTGTTTCTTAGACCTTTTACTATAGAAATGTGGTGCGCTACTACAGTTGCTTTTGTTTTGATCGCTTTAGTTATCTGGCTTCTTGAGCATCGGGTTAACGACGATTTCAGGGGCCCACTTAAAAGACAACTTGTCACTATTTTCTTGTAAGTTTCTTTTGTGCTTACAATCCATTAATTATGCTCGATAATATAAATGTGAAATTTTGCTTTTTGTTTTTCAGGTTCAGCTTTTCGACTCTGTTCAAGAGAAACCGTAAGCAGCCTCATTTTTTCCCTTCCATTTCCTTATGTATGCAATCATTTTGTCGAACATTATTTATTTTGAAATATGAATTACAGAGGAAGATACGGTTAGCCCACTTGGACGAATGGTAATGGTGGTATGGCTATTCCTATTAATGGTGATCACATCAAGCTACACTGCAAGCTTAACCTCAATTCTTACAGTCGAACAACTTTCATCACCAATCACAGGAATAGACGCGTTAGTGGCTAGCCATCTACCAATCGGCTACCAAGATGGCTCATTTGCACATACCTATTTAGCCGAAAGTCTTTACATCCCAAAATCTAGGCTCATTCCTTTAGGCTCCCCTCAAGAATATGATAAGGCGTTACGATTGGGCCCACATCACGGAGGCGTGGCAGCCATTGTTGATGAACTTCCTTACATCGAGTTGTTTCTCTTGGAATATGCTGACTTTCGGATCGTTGGTCAACCCTTTACTAGAAGCGGATGGGGATTTGTAAGTCCTTCCTTCATTGTTTTTCACTTCACACAATAAACAAACTTAGGGAAAGCCTGTTTGATATGCCTCTTATTGGGTCTGGTAAGAGGCTGTGTCTGACTCTGACTCGGTCAGATTTAGACTGTTTGATACCACAATCAGAAGTCTCTGATTTGGTCATATAGCCTCTGTATGTCTCTTACTGGATCTGATAAACATTTGGGTCTGACTCAATCAGATCTAACTCAATCAGCAACTATTAAACAGTAGAAAACTAATTTTTCTTTTTTGGAAAGGGCAGGCTTTCAAGAGAGACTCACCTCTCGCCACGACATTATCTCTAGCAATCATGGAACTTTCCGA